TGTCACTGACTTGTGCAAAAAGCCTCATGTTCAGCATTCTCATAACAACGTGATGAAGATGAGACGAGTGACTGAATGCTTAAAGTGATCCATCAGAGTGCTGGCGTGCACACATCAGACCTGCGCACAGACATGATGTGATGCTCTGATGAGCCATATGTAGCGTGCTTCATGCCTGCTTCTTACTGAAAGGTGGCCGTGTGTGTGCATTAGGACTTACATTGCTCTTTGTGCCATACTCAGCAGACAGATAGAGAAACAGCTGCTTCACGTTCCAATCAAAAATTGGCTGCAAATGTGGGAAAAGTTAAGGACCATCAACAGAACCGCGAGAGGAAAACAAAAATGAATCCGAGCATCTTCACTGCATTGTCAGTGCCTAAAACAATGGTGTACATCGCCATGGTAACCAGGGATAATCTGGTGTTAACGCGACTTGAACTCAAATGTGAATGATTGAGCAGAGAGCGTGCAGGGTTATTTTGGTTTAATCAATGTAATGACTGTATAATTACAAGCCTTTGGCTAGAATCTGTCAGACCTACTGGCGTTCATTTAGTAACGCCCAACACACAAAGCTGCTTCAAACTGTTCTTCTGTCTCAGGATGTAGTTTTTAAAGAAGACGACAAGTCTACAAAGAACTGAATGAATGCACAATCATGAGCAGCCACACAGTGCACTCTTATTGCAAAGATTGTCTGAAGCAGCTGCAACACGTGGCAAGAAGAAAAGATCAAACACAGCAATGCTTTAATAGGAAGGATATCAGCTGAAAGGTCAAAGGTGATGAAACCCAGGTCACTTCGTTCTCGGGGTCCAGTGAAGTCATCAACGTTCTTCCTGTGAGAGAGAGAGAAGTTACAAACGTTGGGACGGACGCATGCAAAGGTGAAGGAAACGACTGCTGTTCCTCACATGACCCTAAATGCTTCTGTGTTTACCTCTGTACTACAGATATGTACTGTACAGCTGTGTAGTATAGTACAGAGCTGTACTGTACCACAGCTCTGAACTACCGCTCTGCACCCCTTCCAGGCACAGTGAGTATCCCGAGGCTGAGGATGCTGTCCAGGCTCAGGACCGCAGGCCACAGAGCGGCTCCCACCAAACAGCTAGCATGTAAACCAGCCTGCAGCCTCCGCTACACGGAACAAAGACACGATAGACAGCTGTTGAGAGACTTACAGCATGACTTTAGAGACGTGGATGTCCACAGGAACTCTCCTGTCTTTAAACGCTGTGGTGATGAAGCAGCCGAAAGTCAGAGCCGCCATGACGCTCAGGGAGAAGGCAAACAGCGAGTTAGCTCTCGACAGGACCGTGTTCATATTGGGATTCAGCAAGTACCACACGGACACTAATTCAAACGACAGCCTTGTTCCAAGCCCTGCAGCGGATGTACAGTTAGCGCAAACCGGAAACGTGAAGTTTGCGTGGAATAAACACATACTTCCGGTTAAGGCCTTTCAAAATAAAGCAATTTTGAAGCGTTTTCGGCCAGAAGACCATTTTAAAAGAATCACAGTCTAT